TTTTAATAGTCCATTATGACTTAGAGCTACATCAAATGGATGTGAAAATCGGATTCCTAAATGGAAATTTAGATGAAGAAGTTTATTTGGATCAGCCTGAAGGTTTTTCAATTGAAGGAAAGGAACACGTGGTATGTAAATTAAAGAAATCAATATACGGATTTAAACAAACTTCTCGTCAGTGGTATTGTTGTGTTTTTTATATCGTAAGTGTATAATATCATAACAAGTAATATATTTAAGTTTAAGACTTTTTTCGAGAAGAAAAAGTGTTCCCGCAGTAGTTCACAAGCAAACAAAGGCCAAGTGAGAATTGAGTAAGCATGTGCATTAGGAATGGAGTTTAAGTGAAGATCGAGTTCATAGGAGTAGTGAATTATTTTTGGATTTTGATTTCTCTTTTGTTTTAGAGAATACTACTTTTGAATCGACAATGAGATAGAAAATAATTTGAGGCTTCTGGTTTTTTCTTTTAATTTTTTTGTAATGAAATAGTTGAATTTATTTATGATTCTCGTTTGATTGAATATGGCCTCTTATGTGATGGTTTATATAAATTGTCTTCAACTTCTTTTGGTGAAATCTCATGTGTTGTGAATATGTCAAAGAAAATGTCTCTTATTCGTGACTCATCTTTCATGTTGTGGCATAAGTGGTTGGGTCACATTTCAAATGAAAGGATGGAAAGATTGGTTAAAGTTGGGATGCTTCCCTCTTCGACTTCTCTGATTTTGATACTTGTGTGGATTGTATAAGAGAAAAGTAGACTAAATCCACTCATGGTTACTTTATTGGGTACCCGGACAGATTAAAAGGATATAAGTTCCATTGTCCAAATCGTGGTACCAGAAGTATTGAGTCAATCACTGCTAAATTTTTGGAAAATAATTTTGTTAATAGTGGGAATTTCACGTTGAATGAATTTTTTTGTTGAGAACGGAAAAGAAAACCTGGTGTATGAGTTGAATAAATCCTTATATGGCCCGAAACAAACATCACGCTAGTGGTATTTGAATTTTGACTAGATTGTGACTTCTTTTGGTTTTGTTAAAAATACAATTGATCAATACATTTATCTCAAAATCAATGGGAGAAATTTTATTCTATCTTATATGTTGATAACATCTTACTTGCTAGCAATACAACACCACAAACACAAGATCACCACTATCAGCACCACCATCAAACTAGATCTGAAACTCACAAACATAAAAAAAAACCCAAAAAGTCGGCACCGCCACCACTTCCACTTCCACGACCAC